AGCAGCACAGAGAGACTACGAGTTACACTCTCTTGACTTCTCCACTGCTTTCCTTCAGGGCAGCCTACACGAGGAGGTCTGGTTGCGTCGTCCCTCGGCCTTCACTGGCACCTTCCCTCCTGGGACCCAGTGGAGGCTGAGGCGACCTGTTTACGGTCTTCGCCAGGCCCCTCGTGAGTGGCACGACACTCTGCGTTCTACCCTCTCTGACCTTGGGTTCCAGCCGTCTTCTGCCGACCCGTCGCTGTTCGTTCGTCGTGGCTCCACACCGTTCTTTGTTCTGGTTTACGTCGACGACCTCGTTTTCGCCACTCCGGACAGGGTTGCTTTGGCAGACGTGAAGTCCGAACTGCAGAAGAGACACACGTGCACTGATCTTGGTGAACTGCGCCACTACCTTGGCCTGCAGATCACCAGGGACAGAGCCGCTCGCACCATTACACTCTCACAGTCACACATGGTGCAGCAGGTCCTTCAGCGGTTCGGGCTTCAGCACTCCACCGTACAGCGCACACCTCTAGCTGTTGACCACAGACTCACTGGTCCCTTTCCTGACGAGCCGTTTGAGCCTAGTGGTCCCTACGCAGAGCTTGTGGGTTGCCTCATGTACCTGATGACTTGTACTCGCCCGGACCTCGCCTTCCCTCTCAGCATCCTTGCGCGCTTTGTTGCGCCAGGGAGACACCGTCCTGTTCACTGGACGGCAGCTGTGAGGGTGGCGAAGTACCTAGCGACTACATCAGGCGTGGGGCTAGTTCTTGGAGGGCAGCAGTCTGTCGTACTCACTGGTCACTGTGACTCGTCTTACGCTGACGACGCTGAGACTCACAGGTCTACTCAGGGGTACTGTTTCAGTCTGGGTTCTGGAGCTGTTTCCTGGCGTTCCACGCGCTCCTCTTCTGTCTCGACCTCTACAGCTGAGGCTGAGATTTACGCTGGTGCCATGGCGGCACAGGAGTTGCGGTGGTTGACCTTCTTGCTCACTGACCTTGGTGAGCGGCCGAGCTCTGCACCGACCTTGTTTACTGACAACAAGGCGTCGATCCTCCTCTGTCGTGAGCCGCGACTGGAGAGCAGAGTGAAGCACATTCACATCAGGTACTTTCTTCTGCGAGAGTTGCATAGGCGTGGACAGGCTCGCTTCGAGTTCGTAGAGTCCGAGGCCAACACTGCAGACATCTTCACCAAGGCGCTTCCGCCTTGTGACCACCAGAGGTGTTGTGTGCAGTTAGGCCTTGTTGACACAGGTTCTAGTCATGCGTAGACTTGAGTTTATTGCCTGCTTCGTCTGTACATTTACTATATATACTTGTGATCTCTTGGACTGGCCTTGTGGCCACTGTTGCTTGTGCTCAGAGTGTGTGGTGACGTTGTGATCCACCCTGAGCTTTGTTTTCTTTTGGACTGGTCTTGTGACCGTACTCTTTTTTGTTTTTGCTAGACACCCCTCACTTAGGCTATGGGGGTGTGTCAAATGTTGTAGCCTGTAGTGAGGTTTGTCTTAGGGGGTACAGAAGTTAGGGTTTGTCATATGTACCCCAACCAACATCAATGCAACACTCATTCCTCATTCTGACACTTCTCTCGACAAATCTTTCCACTGAAGTCGCAGCACTACTTGCCTCGTCCCGCCTTATAGCCTTCGCCAAACCACGGGGGAGGGTACGTCCCATTGCGATTGGAGAGTCATTGCTTAGGCTGGCGGCGAAGGTGGCGCTCTCACTTCTGCAAGGAGAAACGCGAATTTTTTTCCTACCTCAGCAATTTGGCGTGGCAATCCCTGGAGGTGCAGAATTTGTCATCCATGCTGTCCGAGACCTCACCACGGTGCAACCCTCCAGCCTATTACTCCAGCCCGACATTGAGAACGCGTTCAACTCAGTAGAGAGGAACGCGTTCTTCAATGCACTCATCGGCTCCCCACTTGCTCCCCGAATCCCCTTCACACGCTCTTTCTACACAGCATCTTCACCACTGCTGCTGGACCCATGCTTCAATTCCACGGCACTCACCAGCGGAAGGGGAGTCAGTCAGGGGGATCCCCTCAATCCTCTCTTATTCGCAGCGTCTATCTAGCAGCACCTCAGGCACGTAGCAACGGGGCACCCCGGAGTCACGGTCCTCGCTTACGCGGACGACATAACCATGATTGGACCCGCGGCGGCGACGCTGGAAGCGCTCAAAGAGCTCACGTCGCTGCTGGCACGGGACACTCTCACCTGCAACTTCAGGAAGTCGTTGACGTGGTCCACCGTGCCGCTAGGAGGGGACGTACTCCCCAAGGGCCTTCCCCTCACCCGCGAGGGGGTGCGGGTGTTGGGAAGTCCAATGGGGTCGCAGAGCTTCTGCTATGATTTTGTCCGTAGCACCCTGACAGACGCGGCAGCCCCCTTAGGCTCTCTGGCATCCATGCACCCACAATACGCCCTCCTGCTAATGTCTCGTTGCATCAGCCGCAGAGTCGGCTACCTGCTGCGCACTACCCCACCTGACGTCTTACCGCTCTCGGAATGGCACACATGGTGCGCCGAATTACTGAACACTGCCTTGACCGCCGCCAGCATTCAACCGCCACGCCGACAAGCCGAGTTCAACTTCCTTCTCCAACAGGCAACTCTCTCAGTAGCCCTAGGCGGACTGGGCCTTACGGACCCCACAACTGAAGCAGCATCGGCCTACCTGGCATCTACAACAGAGGCGCTGCGCCTGCTCCGCTCCCTGGACTTACCAGCAACCGCGCCGCTAGGGGCCGACAGCAATGCCCTGCAGCCGTCTGCAGCGCACTCCGTGACCATCCAGGACATGGAGGGGCGACTGCCACCGCTGGCGCTACAAAACCTACGGGAGGAGCAGCAAACCCCATCTCACGACTAGCTGCAGCGCGCCCTCTCCCAGGAAGTGCACGCGGCAAAGGCCGACGCCCTAAGAGAGGAGTCACGCGCAATACAGTCAGCCCTCGAGATGGGCCACACACTCCGCCTAGTCAGCCTGAGAGGAGAGGGAGCGAGAGCGTGGCTGCAGGCACTACCCTTGACCTCGGACCTCTGCTTCTCACCGGGACAGTTCCGAGCGGCCCTAGCCTTCCGCATGGGCATGCGACAGAATGTACCAACCGTGTGCAAGTGCGGAGAACTCGTAGCCGACTTCAGCCTACCCAACCACTTACTCCGCTGCAGCACAGGCCCCGACAGGACGCGCACACACAACCAGCTGGCCTTCGCCATGGCTAAAATGGCGAGGGAGGCGCAGCTGGTGGTATACCTGGAGAATGCGATGTACTCACCTCCGGATGACCCGAAGAAGGCAGATATGATTGTACAAGACCCGAACAGTGGAGAGACCTAGATCACAAACACCACTATCACTGACCCTGTGCTGCAGAACCGAGACCCTACGGCCCGCAAACCCCCAGGTTGGGCTGCAAGGGAGGCATAGAAGCGGAAGGAGAGGGACTACTACCGACACACTGAACACGTGGTGTTCTGCGCCTTGGCCGTCGAGACCTATGGGGCAAACGCGCCCCCCACGACGGCGTTCCTGAAACTGCTGGCCACAGCAGTAGCTAGGAACCGCTTCAGGGCCAGACCCTTGGCGGAATCCGCCAAGAAGATGGCCTGCCACTTCAGCCAGCGCTCCAGCGCCATGGTCAGTGGCCCTCCAGCGCTCCCAGACGAACGCCTTGCACACCAAGGCCAGGGCTGGGATTGAGGCAGCACACCCCCAGATGGCAGCGGACCCCTGGCCGCTGCACCTGGGGGACATCCTCCACACGCTGGAGGGCTAGAGGGTCACTCAGGGGGGAGGGGAGGGGAAGAGGGGTGAGTTGATGGGCTTATAGGATAGAGGTTATCATGGATAGAACTGCATGTCTGTACCCCTGCTGAATTAATACAACAGTCCATTTGAGAGAGAGGGAGAGAGAGAGAGAGAGAAAGAGAGAGAGAGAGAGAGAGAGAGAGAGAGAGAGAGAGAGAGGGAGGGAGGGAGAGAGAGAGAGAGAGAGAGAGAGAGAGAGAGAGAGAGAGAGAGAGAGAGAGAGAGAGAGAGAGAGAGAGAGAGAGAGAGAGAGAGAGAGAGAGAGACGGCTATCATGGATTGCACTGCATGTTTTTGTACCCCTGCTGAATCAATACAAAGGACCATTTGAGAGAGACGGCTTCAGAAGCATGTGGCATGCACTAGCGCAGCCTGGTGAGTGCCGTGGCAGCAGCAGTGCGCCTGACAGCCTGGGCATCTAGCAGTGAGCACGCAGTCCCCGGTACCAGTGCACTCGCTGCTGCTACCGCCACCACCCGCCGCTCCACCTCCACTGCTGCTCGCACCACCTCCACTCTCCCCGCTGCTGCTGCTACTGCTGCCTGCTCTCCCTGCTCGGCCCTCTCTGTGCTCATGGGATCCTGTGTCTGCCCCTTCTTTCCTGATTCTGCTGCTGCTCCTCTTGATGCCGATGGTCCTGCTGATACTGCTGTTAGCTGTGATGGTGACTGATAGGATTGGGGTACAAATGGCGGTGCCAATGGGGATAGTGCTGCTGATGCTGCTGGTGGTGCTGTTCCGCGTGACAGTGGGACAAGTCCTGTTGATTGCAATTGTGGTACGAACTCTGGTGCGGATGTGGATTGAGGCAACTGTGTTGCACACACTGCTGCTGCTGATGGTGCGACAGATGATGGTGGGGACACGGTTGGTGCAGCAGTGGACGCCATACCATGGTCGGGCATGTGCATGTGAGCTGGCAGGCTTGTTGGGGGGACGTGATGCGTTGTCATCTTGACCTGGTGGTTGGAACATCAAGGGCCATGGCATGAGAAGGAAGTTAGGCGAGCGTGGTGAGAGGAAAGCAAGAGCACAATAACTTTTGGCTCGGAGTCATCCCAAGAAGAAGAAAAGGCCAATCACGCACCACCATGCCACAAGTCAGCACACACGCATGCCCCTTCCCTGCCCCCTCTACTTTCCCCACACACACACTCTTGTGCACCCGCCCATCCCCATCTTCACTAATTATTCCGTCTCTTCCCCCTTATCCCTGCCAATCCACCTCCTCCCCTCCCACCGACCAGTTGCTGGCCTCCCTTGCCCCCCCCAGCGCGCACCTGCAGGGACCACTTGTTGCGCGTGCACAGGTGCTGCAGCTCCGTCATTGGGTGGGGCGGGCAGGGGCATGGGGGGAACAGGGGGAGCAGGTGCGGGGCGAACACCTGCACCAAGCGCACACGGAAGGGCAGGGCGACAGGGGTTGGGGAACGGAGGAGGAATATAAGTATGGGGTACAGTATGGGGTACAGTATGGGGTACAGTATGGGTTACAGTATGGGGTACAGTATGGGGTAGAGTATGGGCTACAGTATGGGGTACAGTATGGGGTACACAAGGCGGTCTCTTCTCTCTCCTTGCTCCCTCCCCAGTCCCCCCTCCTTCTCGCGCTTCTGAAATGAAAACGGGTACCTACTATGGCACGGCTCACACCCATGCGCCCACGCAGCAGCGTACCTGCCAGACGGCAGTAGCATACCTGCCAGACGGCAGCAGCATACCTGCCAGACGGCAGCAGCATACCTGCCAGACGGCAGCAGCAGGGTGCGAGTGGGCGTCCAGGAACACAGCCCCTGCCAGCGCCTGCACCGTCTCAGACAGCGCTCGAGGGGCACTCACCACCCACTGCACCTCCACGCCCTCCCCGCCCTCCACTCCTTCTGCTCCCTCCTCTCCCTTCCCTCCCATCGCTCCCTCCGCCCGAGTTCGCCCTTCCGCTCCTCCTGCCCCCTCCCCACGGCTCCCCCCATCGCCTCCTTCCCCTGCTCTGCCATCCCGTCCCCCAGTTGCCGAACACACCCCTTCCATTGGGGGGAGTTGGGTGAGGGAGGCGCAGAAGGCAGCGATGTGGTGTGCGGGGAGAGGGGAGGCGGTGCGCATGTGGCGGTGCAGACCCCATGTGACGGCCAGCGCTGCCAGGGCCTCGTGCGATAGCACGTGCTGTCGTGGTGTTGTGCCGTGCCAGTTTCACATGCGGAAGATCATGGGGGAACAATGGCAAGGCGTGAGAGAAGGAGATAGACAGAGGAGAGAGATTGGGGGCAGGTAGCCCTGCGAGAACAGGAGAGAGAGCCAAGACTGATGTCATCCCCACATCCCACCACACCACCACCCCATCCCACCCCACCCCACCCCATCCCACCCCACCCCACCCCATCCCACCCCATTGCATCACCTGCTTCAAGGCGCTGACATGGTGAAGCCTGTTCCCGCCGTGCTGCCCTGCCCCCTCATCCGCGGCCTGGCCCAGCAGAGCATGGAGCACGAGGCAGTACTCCAGCACGGCGTTGCCCACACAGTACATGCGCTCAAACGTCCACGCACTGCCCTCCAACCCCAACCCCTCCTCATTAAGTCCCTCCTCACTGCCGCCACTCCACGGACCATCCCCATCTCTTTTTCCCTCCTCTCGGCCTCCCTCCGAGTTCCCCACCTCCGCACCCCTCTCTATCTCCGCACCCCTCTCTATCTCCGCACCCCTCGCTATCTCCGCACCCCTCTCTATCTCCGCACCCCTCTCTATCTCCGCACCCCTCTCTATCTCCGCACCCCTCTCTATCTCCGCACCCCTCTCTATCTCCGCACCCCTCTCTATCTCCGCACCCCTCTCTATCTCCGCACCCCTCTCTATCTCCGCACCCCTCTCTATCTCCGCACCCCTCTCTATCTCCGCACCCCTCTCTATCTCCGCACCCCTCTCTATCCCCGCACCCCTCTCTATCTCCGCACCCCTCTCTATCTCCGCACCCCTCTCTATCTCCGCACCCCTCTCTATCCCCGCACCCCTCTCTATCTCCGCACCCCTCTCTATCTCCGCACCCCTCTCTATCTCCGCACCCCTCTCTATCTCTGCACCCCTCTCTATCTCTGCACCCCTCTCTATCTCCGCACCCCTCTCTATCTCCGCCTGCTGCTCCCCTTGCCGCTCCCACCGCTTGCGGCGCTGCCACGTGTACCGAGCCTGCTGCCACACGTGCTGCTGCTGCTGCTGCTGCTGCTGCTGCTGCTGCTGCAGGGAGGGGTGAGTGAGCGCCACGAGCAGCAAATCCTTCTGTGCAAACTCATGCCCCAGCGCCCTCTCAGCGCCCCTCAACCACACCCCCTCCTCTTCCCGCCATTCGCCCTCGCTCTCCCTTTCCGGGGCTTGGAGGAACGACTGGTGTGTGTGCGGATGCGAGCACACACACGCACACACCGTTCTCCCCTCCTCCCTGCTCCCTGCACCCTGACCACCCTCCCTCACCCCCTCTCCTCCCACCTCCCCCCCATCTCCACCTTTCTCTCGCTTCCCCTCAAGTTGCTTCTCGCTTCTACCCAACCCCGCCGGCATGAGCCCATGGGTGCATGCACAAGGCACAGCGCATGCACCATGGCAAGGCACGACGCCCATCCCACAGAGCACGTGTGCGGCTGCTGCCTCGCCCCCACCACCCACCAGCACTGCCCCCACAACGGACTCCACACTGTCTGCACACACTCCCTCACTCACTCGCACCGATGCACTCGCTGCCCACCACTCCTCTCCTTCTCCTCCCCTTCCGCCCCCCATCGCCTGTCCCCCACTTAACCGCAATCCCTCACCGCCCCTACCGCCCTCACCCTTATCACCCTTAGTCACACAGTGCTGCACAGAAGCACTTCCCCCCGGGACCACCCTCACCGCCACCCCACCATCCAAGCTTTCCTCCCCCCTCGCACTGCACATGCACCCCTGCCTGCTCTCCCTGCTCTCACTCCCCCCACTGCCCTCCCTGCCCTCACTGCCGCTTTCCCTAACCGCGCCATACCCCTCTCCACTCCACTGTCCCCGCACGCACGCCAGCAATGGCCCCTCGTGCTCGCAGCAACCATGCCTGTGCGCCCGCACAAGCTCTGCCTCATATTCCCCTGCACCACGAACGCGACTTGCCAGGTCAGCACACTCTCCTTTGCCCTCCTCGCCCATAGCCCCCTCTCTCTCTTCTCCCACCTCTCTCTGCTCTTTCCTCCCCTCTTTCTCTCCCCACCCTCCCCCCCACTGCTCGCAGCACCATCTTGGCCCTCCTCCTCCCTTTTCCCCTCCCCTTCCCTCTCTTTCTCCCCCTCCCCCTGTCCCCTGCGGCAGGGGCAGGGGGAGGAGAGAGGGGGAGAAGGGGAGGAGGCGGAGGAAGGGGGGAAGGCCGCAGGCACGGGCGCATGCAGCAAGGCAGCGGTTGGGGACCAGTTGCTGCTCGGGGGGGGGAAGGGAGAGAGAGGGGAGAGGGAGAGGGGAAAGGGCAAACAGGGGCCAGTAGAGGGGGATGGCTGGGAGGGGGACTAGTAAAGACATGGAGAAGGATGGAACGGAAGAAGGAGAAGAGAAGTACGGGCGAGTCACTCTAGGAAGAAGCGGGGGGAGGAGAGCATATGAAGGGGAAAACAAATGAGGCAGCAAGATGAGGTGGACAGAGGCGTGATGTACGTGGTATGGAGCAACGTTCATGGCTTTTGAGGCGCCTCAGAAGTAATTCCATGCGCATGCGGCCACCCACCGCACACGCCCGTCTTTTGAGTCGACTCAGAAGTCACCTGCGCATGCGGCCACCCACTGCACACGCCCGTCCCATCCATCCATCCCACCTGCATCATGTTGCCTGCAGCGTCGATGCCAGCGGTGGGGTGCAGCAGCAGCACGCAGAGTGCTGCGGCGAGCTTGAGAAACGCGTCTCCCAAGAGCTCCAGCAGTGGCCGCGCGATGGGCATGCATGTGGGGGAGAGACGTGTGGGAGGCGCGGTGGAGGGGGGGCCTAGGAGATGGGTGGAGGGAGGGGTGGCAGGAGTGGTGGAGGGAGGAGCAGGGAGGAGGAGGAGGAGGGAAGTGGGGATGGTGGCTGATGGTGATCCGGTGTGTTGGGGTATGGGCAGTGGGGAGAGAGGGGGTGGAGGAGGCCAGGGGGGGTTGATGGTGCGGATATCACCGATGCATGCAGATGGGGCTGTGATGGCCTGCATGCATGCCAGCACGGTGCAATGCAGTAGGCAGGACGGCATGTGAGGTGGAGGGCAGGGGAGAGAAGGAGGAAGGGCGGGAGGGCGGGAGGGCAGCAGAGCAGGGGGCCAGGGGGGGGATAACACGGCACATGAAGGTGACAAAGCATGCATAGCATATTACTTGAGAAAGGTGCTCAGCAGTTCCCCGTGTGAATATGACTCACCGTCACTGCTCGAGCCAAACACGGCAATCAAATAGACTCTTAGCGGCATTCCCATTCTATTTCGAAAGAGCTGCATCCTATTTCCCTTTCTTCTCACAGTCCCTTTTCGCACCCTATCCAACACTCTGGCTTCCGTTCACTCTCATCATAAACTCTTTTTGAGGCGCCTCAAAAGAACACTCTGGCTTCCGTTCATTCTCATCATAAACTCTTTCTTCCCCCATCCTGAACGCACCGTGCGCAGCAGAGGCAGGTGCAGCGAGGGCAGGTGCAGGGAGCAGGCGAGCTCCCAGGCGCACAGCAGGTCAGCGAGGTGGCAGAGAGTGAGAGGCAGCACCGCTGCTGCTCGCACCCACGCTGCACTCATGGGAGAGCTGCTGCTGCTGCTGCTGCTGCTGCTGCTGCTGCTGCTGCTGCTGCTGCCACTGGCCACGGGGGCAGATGGAGGGGCAGGCACGGGAGCAGGGCTGCTGCATATGGTGGTGGCAGCGGTGGCAGTGGTGGAGTAGTGAGCGTGTGAGAGGAGCAGTGAGCAGAGCTCGGGAGGGACCACGATGCGGCGACAGAGGGATGGCGGGGTGGAGGAGGATGGGGCGGGCGGTGATGCCATGAGACGCGTGATGGTGCACGCCTGATGTCAGGGCAGCAGCGGGGCGGAGAGGTGGGATAGAGGGGAGGGAATAATGGGGCAGAAGAAGTGAAGGGGAGGGAAGGACAAGAGCAGAACATGTAAACACGACTTGAAACGCCACCCTGGCAGCACTTGCCTGGGGCGCTGGCACGAGTTCCAGCAGGGGTTGGTGCGGGCGCTGCAGCAGCACGCCATGGAGTGAGCAGTAGTCCCCGTCATACCACGTGCTCTGCCCCTTCCTCACGCCCCTCCTGCCCTGCCACACCCCACTCGCTGCCTCGCCCTTCACATCCTGCTGCTGCTGCTGCTGCTGCAGAGGCGACTGCTCGTGCTGCCCGCCTCTCTCAACACACTTGTCATCAGCGGTTGAAGCCGGTGCTGTGGAGTGCGAGGGAGAGAGAGGTTCGGGGTGGGGCCTGAGCGCGTGCACGAGGAAGAGGGAGGGAGGGAGTGGGTGCGAGTGCGGGAGGGCGAGGGTGACAGCACCATGCATCACCTGCTGTGCGCTGAAGCACCCATTCGCTAACATCACTTCCCCCTGCTCCTCACCACCTCCCTCCTCCCCTCCTCTTCTCCCCTCACCACCTCTTCTCTCCTTCTCTCCTCTTCTCTCCTCCTCTCCTGCTTTGCCCTCCTCCATATGTCTTTCCTCCACGTTCGTTTCTTCCTCTCCCGAAATGGCCCCTCTCTCCTGCTCCCCTGTCCTGCCTACCAAACCCCTTCCACTGTACGCTGCCTCATGCAAGCACACCGCCCTTTCACGCACACAGCCGGGCAGCTGAACGGGCAACTGAGAGGAACGGTTGAGTGGCAGCACTAGGAATCCGGGCAGCCATTTCATCCCATGCTGCTCTGCCCGCCCTTCCTCCTTCCCCTTCGGCCAGCCACTCGACTCACCGCCCCCTTCTTCCCCATGATCTTGCTTCTCACAGCACCTACAATCCCCTCTTGCCTCGTACGCTCCACCTTTCGACTCCTTGCCCGCTTCTTCCCTCCTGCTCTCTCCTCCCCCTTTCCTCCCTTCCTTCCCCTCCTCACTCCCCCCGCTCGTGCCTCTGTTCCCCTCTCCGCCACTGGCGCTAGGGGCAGCGCGCAGAGGGGCGGGGGGGTGGAGGAAGTGCGCCTGAAATCGGAGGGCGCGCGAAATGCACGCGCAGCAGAGGGCGACAGCGCCCGCGGGGAGAAGGCGCGGGGAGAAGCACAGGCTCCGCGTGTGGGGGAGAGGGATGGCGGCGGGCAGCGGTGACGTCAGCATGGAGGGCGGAAGGGGATGCGCGGAGAGGAGGAGGCAGGGGGTGATGGCGGGAGAAAATTGCGCGGAAGCGGGGGTGGGGAAGAAGCAAGCGCACGCCTCATCCTCCTTCTGATGCTCCGCCGAGGTTTTTGCGCCTTTTCCGCAGCTCCTGTCCGCCCACTCCCACGTTACCGCGTGCGCATGGTACGAGTGCCGGCATGGCATGCAGGGGGGTGGCGGTTGCTCCTGGCGGAGGGTCGTCCCAGCGAAGCGGAGGCAAGGCCGCAAGGATTCTTGGGGCGAGCGCGCATGTACGGAGCTGCCGTGTTCCGTGCGACGCGGGGACAGAGCGTGCGGCCATCGCTGCGGCGTGAATCGCTCCAACGGAGGTGGACGTCGGGATGTGCGACCCATGGAGATGAGTGATGGTGCAGATTTTGGTGGCGGAATTTACCAAGATTGCCTCGATTGGACCTGACGCGTGATATTGTACGCGTAGCATAGGACAAGGACAATCGTATCGGTACGATTTATCCCTCATAGATTGTCCTTCAATCAATCTATGAGGGATAAATACGTCCAATCAAAATTGACAAAAGGACGTATCTAGATTGAAAGGACGTATTTATCCCTCATAGATTGTCCTCACATAGGAACACCAAGTAGCTTTCAAGTTGACAAAAGGATGTCCATATAATTCCATGTAACAATTGTTGGGCTGAGAAAAGCCCTTAGGATCTTTGCAGAGCTAAAATCTGGGTAGGAACAATGTAATAGCGGAAGCGTTTAATGATAAGTCATTGAACCACCTTGCGCTGGTATGTGAGAGCAAAGTAGATTGATTAAAACAAAGAGATACAAGTACAACCAATAACTGTTTTACTCTTGCTGTTGCGGTTCGATACAGTGACGACTCTGGCAACTGCTCAATAACGAGTCAGTTGTTTGTCCTTGCTGTCGCGCTGTATTTGTCAGGTCAAAGGTCGCTGACCTTTGACTGTCGCGTAACCTCCAGCGGTTTCTTCACTTTTTAACCTCCAAGTGTTGACTCGCCGATGTTTCGCTGTGCTTCGCCTCGTTTACGACTTAGTGTTTTGACACACCACAGAAGCACTTAAATTACTTGTTTCCTATACTCCCCTTCGTTTCTGGAGTGTCGCTGCTGGTGACATGGCCTTGTCCAGTCAGCAGCATGCAGTACTCGAACTTCTGTTTTCCGAGTTTCTTGGTCAAGTAGTCAGCTGCCATCTCAGACGTGGGGCAGTATGACAGTTCGAGTCTCCCCTTCTCGATCTCGTCCTTCACGAAGAAATATCGCAAGGCCATATGTTTCGTCCTGTTCGCGAATCCGTTTTTGTTCGTGATGCGGATTGCTGACTGGTTGTTGCAGAACAGAGAGAAGCTGGGTAACTGAGCCAGCTTCGCTTCTTCCAGCAGTTCGCGAAGGTACAGTCCTTCCTTGGTGGCTGTGCAGAGTGCAATATATTCTTCTTCAGCTGAGGAGAGAGCAATTAACTCTTGTTTGCTCGATTGCCACGAGATGGGGCCGATAGGTTCGAATCGGTAGACGAAATGGTGCGTGAGCGCCTGTTGTCAGAGTCGCCGGCGTGGCCGGCGTCAACGTAGCCGATCAGTTTAGGTGTCGTGGTTCCGTTCTTGTGATAAGTTAAGCCGATCGTCGGGGTGCTGACAAGGTAGTGAAGTGCGCGGTCGAGCTCCGCCTTGTGCTCCGCTTCAGGTTTCTTGAGGTAGGTGGCGAGCTGATTCGCCGAGTACGATAGGTCTGGTTGGCAGGTGACGGCCGCGAAGAGGAGGCATCCCAGCTTTCTCTGGTAGTCGCGTATGCCGGCGGGCTTAAGTGGAGTGGAGCTTTCCTTGTGATTTCCGGTAGTGTAGCGGTATGGCATTGAGATGGCGGTTGGGGTGAGTCCGAAGCGTTTGGTGATGGTGTTGGCGTACTTCGTAGCGTTGAGGTAGATTGCGCTTTCTTCTTCCTGCATGTTGAGACCGAGGTATTGCGTGACGGTCGATGATACTATGAGAGTGAGATCCTTTTGCAGCTCCCCTTCGAACCAGGTAGTAACGCCGTCGGTCGAGCCGACCTAGAGCAGATTGTCCACGCAGACGATGAGCAGAATGTAGTCGTCGCCTTTCGTGAGCCGGTACATGCCCTGGTCGTGCGGTAGTTGGCGGAATCCGATGCGGATGAGTCTAGTGTCAGAGGTCCACTTGTGATCCTCGATTGATCCTAGGGAAGGGTTACAGGCACATTGGCCTGGGGGGTTATGGGCGCACTGACCCGCTACTTAACAAGCCATTTTATCCCAATGGTCTAGTGGTTGGGATTGTGACATGGTATCAGAGCGAAGGTCTCGGGTTCGAATCCCTGTGTGTGCACTTCGGGCATCCCAGTGCGGGGGGGTGTCAGAGGTCCACAGGTGATCCCCGATTGATCCTAGGGAAGGGTTACAGGCACGTTGGCGTGGGGGGTTATGGGCGCACTGACCCGCTACTTAACAAGCCCTTTTATCCCAATGGTCTAGTGGTTGGGATTCTGACATCTAGCGTGTAGGTACTATTGCCACAGTCTCGAAGCTTGTTTGATACCGTACAGGGACTTTAGCAGCTGACAGACTTGGTTGGGCTCTCCGTTGGAGCCGTGTGGTAATTCGACGAAGATTTCGGCGTCAACAGGTGCGTAGAGGAATGCATTAGCGACGTCGATTTGCCGCAGCTTCTTCTTCATGGCGGCAATAGCAAGGAGAATTTGCAATGAGGTGTGTCGGCTGACCGGAGCGAATGTTTCGGTGAAGTCGCGTCCGTGCTCTTGGTCGAAGCCACGTACGACCCAGCATGCCTTAAATTTGTCAATGGTGCCATCTGCTTTTGTTTTCATGCGGAAAACCCATTTTCCGGTGAGAATTGTCTTGTTCCGTGCCACGCCAATGGGGGCGATTCTCCAGGTGTTGCGCTCTTCTAGCGCCTTTAACTCCCTGTCCATGGCTTCACGCCATTTTTCCCTATGCTCCCCCTTAGAGCCTGCTGAACCGTGGCAGGCTCCTTAGGAATCGCCGTGCCATGGACCGCGGTGACGAGGCCGAGTATCTGGAAGCCACTCGGTGTGTAGCGGGGAAGTGTTGTGTCCTCGGGATAAGCTGCTTTGTCACCCGCTTCTGGGTCAGGTATGAAATTGGGTCCTATGCGTTCTGCTTCATCGGTGTTGACTTGCGCGGGTGTAACGTAACCGTTGTCGGCGAAGTGGTAATATCGGTGTTGATGCTTTCGCGAGGATTTTCGTCGTCCATCGGGACGTCGACGGAGCAGTAAGGAAGAGGTCCGGCTTCTTCCGAGGCGTTATCCCCGTTCTGCTTGTCCCACTCAGCTTCGTCTGCTGCCGAGGCGAAGGCTCGGTTACCATGAAAACCATCTGTGGGGTCTCGGTCTTCTTCCAGGTTGGCAAGGTACGTCGGAAGTGTGAGTCGCTCGTAGAAAATGACATCACGTGCTGCTACTGTTTCCTTTGAGTGGACGTCGAAAATCTTCCACGCGTTGTAATTCTTTTCAATGCCCAGGTGTAGGCCCCACTATGCGCGTCGGGAGAATCGGCCGGCTCGTGCAGCTGGGGGTCAGTACTGTTCCATGCGGCAAAAAACTCTTAACATTTTTGTGCTGCCCTGTTTTCCTGTCCACAGCAGGTGCGGTGATGCGTTGTTCGGGAGCGATGATGACGAGAGCAAGTTGTGCAGCATAATAGCGTGGTCCATTTCTTCGGGCCATTGGTGGTTGGGTAGCCGCATGCCACGTAGCAGCTTGCGCATGGTGTTCTGGAGAGTCCTGTTCATCCTTTCTACTACTCCTTGCTGTTGGTGGGCGTAGGGAAGAGAGATGAACCGCTTGATGCCTCTCTCTGCCATGTACTGCTTGAACCTCTATGAGGTGTATTCTCCTTCTCCGTCTGACTAGAAGCTTTTAGCTTCACTCCTGACTCTCGTTCTGCTATTGGTAGCCAGGCAACAAAGGCTTCGAAGGCCATGTCGCGGCTTGGAAGATTGAGGTGCCAGACATAGCGAGTGGCGGCGTCGATGAACGTGATGGTGTAGCTGTATGCTCCTTGTCCAGTTTCGCGATTGTACAGGATGTCGCTGTACACTTTCTCCAGAGGCACGTAAGTTGGAGCGCTAGGATTGTGATGAGATGCAAATGGCCAATGCAGTAAGTCTGCTTCTAGGCAGGTAAAGATCGTTCCGCGAGCTCGTCGAAGTTCGCTTCCGTCGGTTAGAAGCAGTGAGTCTTTGTCGAGCAAGCCTGCTCCGATTGTGTTATTTAACACTGTGTTTCTTGGATGTCCCATTCGTGCATGCCAGATATCTTCGCCAGCTTGATGCACGGATGAGCGACGGTATAAGTCGGAGTTGGAGTAGAAGCCTGCAGTGAGATTTGCGCTTCGATGGACTTCTCGTGGTGTTGGATTCAGTTGCTGCGCAGGAGTCGGTGGAGTATCGTCGTCGATTGGGGCTGGTGCAGTTGAAGGATCCGCGATTGGTGCCGATGTTGTCTCTGCTGCTGCTGGTGTTGTCTCTGCTGCTGCCGATGTTGCTGCAGCTGATGTTGTCTCTGCTGCTGCCGATGTTGTCTCGGCTGCTGCCGTCGTTGTCTCCGCTGCTGCCGTTGTTGTCTGTGCTGCTGCCGTTGTTGTCTCTGCTACTGCCGTGTGTTGTATCGTTGCTAATGCTCTTGTTCGTTCTGCCTGAGGGATGGTGTGCGAATACCAGAAGCCGCGCGGACTGAACTTGGGATCAAGATCCGGCGGGTGTGTCCAAGAAGTGAAGTTGACGATGGCGTCGCTGTCGGCGGTGCCTAAGTCTGGAACGAAATCAAGGACGAAGACATTGTTCTTCAACATTGCTTTCCCGATGTAGAGTCCGCCTCTCCCGTGGTACAACTTGAATTCTAGGGTGGTGCTGTCTGCTTCGAGGTGAATACCTTTCGCCATCAGCTGACTGCCACTGAGTAAGCTATAGCCGAGTCCCTCCGCGATTAAAACTTTTGACATCTGTAGTATGACGTTCGTCTCCCGTGACTGAAGCTGAACTACGCCTTGTCGTCTTGTGTGCATGTTTTGGTTGTTGGCGACGGTGATGACGACTTCGTGTTGGAGTTGATGTTCTCGTTGGACGAAGCGACACGAGGAGCAAATGTGTTGTCCGTAGCAACTATCCAAGAAC